TATTGGTAGCAATTCTTTACTTATTTATAAAATTATTTTTCTATTACTCTTCTATAAAGCCGATTTCCGTGACCATTTATTTCGTTCTTAATTTTGTTCTTTTTGGCTACAAGAATGTTCATTTCCAATCGAAAGGTGTTTGGTTTACCTTTTTTACACTATAAGTAAATGGGCCCTTAGTTGAACGAGAATGCCACCTATCACGAATAAGTTTGTCCCAACAGTTGTTTATGTGCTCACTAACACCTTCTAACAACAAATATAAAATTTTGTCTTATGCTAAGTCATAAAACGCCATCAATTAAATTTTGCTTCAGGGATTCAATAGTTGTTCGATTTCCTATCAATAAAAGTCGCCATTTATATGCACACATTAGAAGTTCTGACTGCGTGCTATTGCCAATGCTAAATTTTTTAATAGATTTTCAGTTTGTGTATTTCAACTTGCAGAATTTAAAATAATTTGCACGTCATTATAACGATTTGTTTTTCTTTCTTTGCATGTTGTTGGTATTTTTATGTTTATAAAAACAATAGAAGAGTCGAATAATGCTTGAGTGCAGTGCGTATTTTGCATACCAACTAGCTGCATGCCTGGCGTTCCAGCAATGTTGAATAAGCAATGCGAACAATAATCAGCCAACTGTAGGTAGGTAATAGGTTGTCCATTTCTTTCTTCAATAAAAATACGCTTATATGTGTTTGTTGGTTATATAGACAGCGAAATGAGTGATTGTATCATTGACTTTGTAGATATAAACATACATACCATATAATAGCAGAAATTCTGGTGAAAATGCTTTAGGGGTATTCAAGCCGCACTCCTTCATTCGGAGAAGATAACATATTATTTCCAACAATTTTAGGTAGGTATTTTTTAAACATTATATAAGACTTAATAAATAAATGGTCTAATATGAACATTGTTCGGTAACTTGTTGAAGGTAATCTTAAATTGGCCCCCTCGTATAAACCTCCGTTCTCGGCCTATCTGCAAAACTCTGGCATATATACAGGATCATGTGTAATCACTTGATACAAGGACTCTCCAACTATCGGAGCTTCTGGCGAGCCCCTATTGATATGTGTGGTCTGGCGTTGCACTGGAACTTCAGACGATTCGATTGTTGATAGTTGAATTCATGAAACCGAAATTGCGGTTTTATTATCATAACCAATATTCATATTTTCTGTCGCCTGGCTTGCGTTTTCTCCTTTATCGTAGAAATACTGTAAAATATGACGTATTTTTTGTATGCTGGTGTCCGTCTTTGATGAGTGCTCAAACAATATTAAGTCAAGATATCACAAGACTATCAGAGAATATATAATATATTTTAGCACGTGATCTTATTCTACGTAAGCCGATTGCTCTTATATAACACGAGATAAGGATTACTGAAGTCATCTATTGTAAAAACTAAATTTTTTTTTACTAGAGCTTATATTACGGCTACCTTAACAGGGCTAGTAGTGAACGAAATATCTCCTATCATCAAACAAACAGCCATCGTATTCGCGACTTGGCTCCCACGTCTCTGTTGATAGTCATAACTTCACCAACAACAACGTCAGCCTCGAAATCCAACACAGAATAACTTTTGCCAACAGGCAACTGCGGCGTCGGCGATATACAACGATTTTGAGTTATCGGCTGTAGCTATGCTGGCTAGATCATGTCTTTCGAACGGAAAAAAACACTCCAGCTCTGAGAGTATTCAACGTAATACCCGCCGGGGGAACCAGAAGAAGAGGAAGACTTCCACTCCGTTGGAAAGACCAGGTTGAGAAGGACCTGGCTCCAATTTTAATCTCCAATAGGCGCCAACCATTACAAAAAAATGGACGAATGGCGCGTAATGGCTGTTGTAAACTTGGCTGTATAGCAGAATTTCTGGACCAATGAAATTTATCAGAAACCCATTAGACATTCATCAATTTCTTTGAAGTCTATAACTATGTCGACAAATAAATATTTTCGTAAGCACATAAATTGATTTGTATTATATGTTTGTACGATTCTAAATTTCTAAAGGAAATCTGACAACTCGTAGAATAGTAGTACGTGCTTGTATGGAAACAGACTGTTGGACTAGCGGTCCATAGTTTTGAAGTAGTTTATACCAAGTTACGCGATTATAGCCGTGTTAACAACCGCGCGCCAGTTGTTTCTTCTTTTCGCGACGTGGAGCCAATTGAATATTCCAAGGGAAGCCAGGTCCTTCTCCATCTGGTCCTTCCAACGGATTGGAGGTCTTCCTCTTCATCTGCTTCCTCCGGCGGGTACTGCGTCGAATACTAAATATAAAAGCATGTTTATTTATGTTTAAATTAAGCGTATACAAATACAATAACATTTTTTATGTACAAGAAACTATATGTAAGGCACTTAATAGAGAGAAGTATAGACTTGAATTCAATCCGGAATGCACTTTTTGTTTCTTCAAAGGTTAGCAAATACCGTATGCGTTCATTCATGGCATTGCCTCTGCAGTTTAGGCAACAGAAAACAGTTCAAGAGAGAAGTAATTTATACCTTATAGGAATGCTGGAGTTTTAGTCGCCATAAAATGAATACTTATATGTAATTACAAACATTTATAACCATTTTAAACAAATTTGCATCAAGCTTCATTCATTACTGAGTAATGGTTCGCAGACAGTTCTTTTGATTCAAATGAGTACTGAGCTCCCTCAAACTTAAAATAGCTGAAAATTGGACGGATCGTAATAATTGAGATATCTATAACACCAGAAAATTCTCTAGTGATGATCTCATAATTTTCCAAACAGTTTTTGATGAACACGCAAAATTAAAAAAAAAACTTACTTTTTGAAAACATCATTGACATTGACATAAAGTTAAGTTAACTATTTTAACTGCTCTGTTAGTATATCTTAAAAAATATATTGTATCATAAAATGGAATTTTATAGCTTAAAGCTAGGGTGGATAATGGAAAAAGTTTAGTAAAAGAAATATGCCCATGTTTGAAGTATATTAAGTAAATATAAAGTTGCTAAGATTTGCTAAAACTCGGATAGTGATCACAGTACACGTAAAAAGCACCTGCCACAATAATTTTTAGTGTCAATTTATATATAATATATATTAATTAGTTTACATTTTTATTCATTTATGATATGTAAATATACACATAGATATGTTATAAATAATATTTCCACTTCAATGCCCATTTAAACCACTTTTAATGTGATTTTGTTCTCATATTTATAATTAACAATTGACGTGTAAATTAATGTTAATTTGATTTAGCATTTCGGTTAACGATAAATATCTGTATTAGCCACAAATACATACATATGTATATTAGGGTGCTTCAAAAAAAATTTGATTTCAAATGTTAGTGATTGACAAACAAAAAATCCTCCCTCAAGCCAGGCGCTGTAGCTTAACTCTAAGGGGTCGCTTGTTTTAATTTCCCATACATTTCACATAGGAATTTTATTTTTGTCGTTTAAACTAAAATTTCACCAAATAATTTTCATTTCTCAAAAATAACCATCACATATTCATAAGATTGGATTTTCAAACTTTAAAAATTAACCCGACAAAATTATTATTCGCAGAAACTTTTTTTATTTTTATTGAAAAAATTCCAAATTTCAAATCACTATGTTTAATCGTCTAATCGAGATAATCAAACTTAGTCGGAGAAATTTTTAAAATATGAAAAGTGACCTTTCTGAATATGTGATGGTAATTTTTGAGAAACGAAAATTAGCTGGTGAAATTTTAGTTTAAATGAAAAAACAAACATTCCTATGTTAAATGTATGGGGTTAAATGTATGGGAACCTAAAAAACAATAGCGACCCCTTGCTACAGCGCTTGGCTTGGGGGAGGATTTTTTGTTTGTCAATTACTAACATTTGAGGGGGTAAGAGTTGAAAAATAATTTTAAAAATTTTGTTTGGTCTTCGACATTATATGAGTACTGCAGTTGTAGATGTACGATTAATTTGTATTATAGTTTTTTTGCCTTGCAGTTTTTTGCCTAATCAATAAACAATTACTATATTAAATGATAGGTTATGGACTCCTAATAGAAATCGTGCTACCTTAATGTACAAGTATTATTCTACGCAAGAGTTCCACTGCCGCTTACAACCGGGTAATCGTTGGAAATTAGCCATATATAAAAACCCTGTCAAATCGTATACAAATTGACAGGCAAGTATTATGTTAATTGTGTGAACTAAATATGAGGTGACAATTGATATGGGAATAAAATTATAAAAGTAAATAAAATAAAGGTATGAAATTACACAATGCAACAAGATTCTAAATAATAAAATTCCAAAATGCTCCTAATAGATCTAGTTTTTGTACGTATGATGATCACACATTCAGTAAAACTGTGGTGAAATTCGTTGAAATCATTTTATGGCAAGTTACGGTAAACTAGGACCAAACTGGTCTATGCGTGGATTGTTGGTCTACCAGATTAACCTAACCTAACCTAGGATAAACTATTATTTTTCGGATTGAATAATACTATGCGAATGCTTGTGTTTTTCAAAAACGTACTCAAGGTGACGCTACAGTACATTTTTGGATTTTTTAAGGTGTTTTATGCCAAGTAAATAATAATAATTAGTGTACACCTGTTTCGCTATAAAAATTATGTCTGATATTATTACAAATATTATAGTATTTCACGTTTATTCGACAAAACTTGAAGCATCAAGCAAATAATTATTAATTTGTGTGAGGTATAAGCTTTAATTTAATTTTTGAAAATTTTATTCCACATTTATAAAAAATATATAATAATATACAAACACCTACAAATAGATAACTAGCAAAAAATTACTACCTCTATTAATAAATAACTAACTATATTTGATGATTCAAATGCAAAAATCAAGGTTATTCATATTGAAAGTAAATCACACCCTCGTTGATAAGTATGAATTCATAGATAATTTTCTAATAGGTTTGCAATTAAGTAAGTACAATTAAAATTATATTACTCACCCTCCGTGTGTCCCAATTCACACCAACAGTGATCGTTGATAAATTGTTGTCCTAAACAATATTTCATGACCTTATCTGAGCAGTTGATAGCGCAACCGGAGGGTTCTGCAATGGAGTAAGAGAGAGGAAGATTATAAAAAAGTCTTAATTCATAACGAATTATTTGTGTAGATATCTTTTAACTCTAAGAGGCAACTAATTATCAGGAACAAGAAAAGCGTAAAAATTGGTAGCATCGAAACTTAAACCCTTCACAAAAAAAAAATCCTTGCAAGAACTTGATTTTGATCGACCGTCTTGTAGCTACATATATACTAAATAAACATACAAGGCGCGTTGCAAAGTAAACAGGACTTTTTGAATCTAGAAGCCCCTGGTGGCGCCATCTATATGTCGACTGGTGCGTTAGAATCTGCTATCTTTATCAATTGTCCAGCGTTTTAAATGTCAGTACGTTTGTGTAATCGGTGCGAAAATGAGCTTCGAACAAAGAGCGAACATTAAATTTGATTTAAGATTGGTAAAATTTTTACCGAAACGTTTAAATTGATGAAACATGTTTATGGCGATGAGTACCTATCCCGTAGTAGAGTGCACGAGTGGTTTCAAGGTTTTCAAAGTGGTCGTGAGGACATAAATGACGATCAACCCACACATGATCAATCAAAATTCGTGATCACCGGAAATTCCATCGAAACTGTGCTCATGGAAAATTAGGCGAAAACATCATTGAAATTCATGGAAATGGAATTGAACAACTCCAAAACATCGATTTATCGCACTTTGACCGAACATTTGGGCTTACGAAAGGTGTGTGCACGGTTTGTTCCGCACAAATTGACTGACAACCAAAAATTGCTCAGAATCCAACATTCGATCGACGCTTGTGACCGATTATTTGACCAAAACTCACATTTTAACCATTAACCACTCCCCGTATTTACCTGATATAGCACACTGCGACTTATTGCTTTTCGGAAAAATGCATTTGCCCATGAAAGGAAAGCGTTATGCAGACGTAGAGGCCATTCAAAAGGCTTGCACAGGCATACCGGCGGCCATAACGGCCAACGAGCTAAAACACTCGTTCGAAATGCTTTTGGACCGTGCAAAAAGCTGTATTGAAACAGAAGGGGACTATTTTGAATAAAGTGTTATTTTTTAATCCTGTTTACTTTGGAACGCACCTTGTATATTTAGATATGGTAGTAATGCTTCAAATAATAATTCATTCGAAATTTTGTGAAGATATCTTGTCAAATAAAAAAGTTTTTATTTGAAGAACTTGATTGTGATCGCCCAGATCTAATATAGACAGACAGATAGGGTAACACAGCTAACCAAGCTGATCGTAGCGAACTGAGTATACTTTGTTCAGTGTATAATTATGGAAATAAACATTATGACTGTTTTGTTTCAATACACTTTAAGCCTGAGTTTCACAGGAAAGGTATTAGTTCGTGATGTCGTAACTAAAAAGAACGGAAGTACAAAGAAAGTAAAACAAGTTGTGTGGTTTTTCACGTAGCATGACGCAATCTTACCTCTATCATATGTGAAAACTATAAAAAAAGTAAGGAAATATAAAAACGACTTTGTCAACTTCGCGCTCTTTTGCGAATTTTTTAGAATAAGGTGAAACTTGGCAAGTTATTTATCGTGAACATTTTCACATATGTAATTATTTTTTACACCTATGTGCAGAATATTTGACTGTAAATAAATGTGCTCATGTTAGGTCCCACACAACTTCTCAATCGCTTAAAAACAGGCACGTGTTTATTGGTCGAGAGAAACGTTATAAAAACGATACTTCAAAACACTTTTATGATATCGTGACATGTGGTGAATCGTGGATTTATGGGTCTGAGCGCCAAAGTAAACAGCAGTCGAGTTATAGGTATTTCGGAATGAGTCGAATCAAACAAACGTTGTTTAAGCACGAATCTCTTCCAATCAAATGGTTGCCTGTTGTTTTTGAAAAACTGCACATGTCGCAACCATATCAATAGAACTATAAATTCGCAACCATTTGCGATCTCTCACTGGATCATGAACTGAAACAACTGCAGTTTGAGCACTCAGAACATCGATTTGATGAGTAATTCACCATCTCGTACGTAAAATACAAATTAAGAGGTTAACCTTTTTCGACCCTTGAAGAGACGATTGATGCCTAAATCAGAGTGGCAAAAGTGCTTCGCGACTGGGATCAAACCCATTTAAAAGTGTTTAGATTGTATTCGAGAATATTTTGAAAAACAATAAAGCGACTTTCAAGCATTAATATTTGTTTTTGTTTTCTAATCCCGAAATATAAAAGACAATCTACACATTTTCCTGGATACGTACCACCATAATCGCTGACATTAAACGTCTTCAACGCCGTTATTGCATCCAAACGCGTCACCTGATGTTCGAAATGATATTCCTCATATGCCGCTTGCATATTAGGCGCTCTCTCTTTAAAGTTACTTATATCACAGTGTACACAGGATTGTGGTGCCGCAAAGGAGCTGTCAACTAAATGCGAAAACCACACTAGCAGTAGAGTAAGTAGGATCAATGATGGGCAACGTGTCAGTTGACGTGCACTTTTATTGTTTGTATATAGTTGTTGCGTCCAACTGCTGAAAATACTACAATTTGCGATAACACTGCGCTTTGTTGTTATTGTAGTTTTATTCCTAATAACTGCCGTTGAACTTAGTTGATAACCCGCCGCAGACGGAAGCGCGAAGTACTGCGGTCGCAGCTGACTAGATCGCGAGCAAAGATGATTAGAAATACGGCTAAAAGTCGTTTTGTTCTTTAGTAATAATACCGAATAGCAGCGTTGTAGCAAATTTTGGAATTGTTTGAATGGTGGAAGATTAGTTGCTGGTATTGTTGTGCTATTTTGCGTACTTTCGTTGCATGAGGAACTGTATTTGTCTCCATTCAAACGCTTTGAACAAGCATTTTGACTGTTACAACAACGTTTGGGCAAAGATGAATTTTGTAGTTGTTGTTGCATTTTGCATGTGCGTTCTACGTAGCCACACTAATACACTGACGCGCAAACACTTAGCAGTAATTGTAGTGCAACTCTTTTGTTTAACAAACTTTTCGTTGAAATCAATTATTTTTTTATATTTTATAATCACACATTGTTTACATAATATGACACTTAAGTGCACAGAATGCTGGCGATAATACTCGTATTACTTGGAAACGCATCTAAAATCTATAAATGAAAGTGAAGCGGAAAAACAAATGTTGTTGAAATTATTATTGTTGTTGTAATGTGCACTTATTTGTATATAGCTAGTTGTTTTTTTATAAGCTGTGTTGTTATTGTTTTTATTATTTTTTTTTTCAATTTTGTTTTTGGTTTGCTCGCGCCATTGTTCAAGCCGCATTATCACTTGCACTGCAGCCGTACAGCGTTGAAACATGACACTTAGTAAATGTTAATTAGCATTAGAAAAATTTAACAACAACAAAATGCACCGCTGCTTTGCATTTGAATTATTTCGAATTCTTTTCACACATCACTTGTTTTCTACACGAGCGCTATTCCAAGCATTGGAAGAATTCACATAAACATATTTGTAAAAGTATATTTTAAGTGTTTATTGATCGGCTTTTATTGATAATTTTTAACAGAGCTTTTACATTATTTACTTAATTTTTGTTTATTATGGAGTTTGATTTCATATATGGATGAATTGGGCATGTCCGTCACATTAAAATCTATTTCAACTATTGTTTAATAGTCTGAGATTTTCAAAAATTTTTTTGTTAAAAATACACTTTAGGGTGCTTAAAACATTCATATGGAATAATAGAAAAAATGGGTTTCCTTATCCAAACTGCAGCAGTGTTAAATAAGGGGTAACTTGTACTCATTAGACTCTATATGTTGATATGATATATTTCTATAATTAGTATTAGCATTTTCCTTGCAAATTTTTTATTTAGATATTTTTATGTAAACAGTAAATAATGCATCAAATCTTACTAAGTGACAAAAAAAAATCCACTCTTTGAAAGATTTTCTAAAATTTTGTAATCTGTAAACCACTTTTCCGCAAAAGATGTATTATTGAATTTCCTTAGAATGGACATTGAACAATTAGTTATAATCTTTTGCCAAGTGGCAATTTTTAAAGTAGTTTGGAAGATGGCGACGATTATTCCATCTTGTATTTTCGTCTTAACTATGGCGCTCGCAGTTTTTTTGGATCAGCTAATCGAGCCAGCGTGTTTAAAAGGTGAATTCTAGCTGAATCTAGAAAAACTGAAAAAGAAATCAGAGGCCTGGCAGATTTTTCCTTGACCGGACATGCTTTACTGATACAAGAGGGTGTGGTAGTAGTTTCATTAATTCTTTCTTTGTATTTGTAACGTCGCAATCACTCGATTGACCAGCTTTCGAAATTTAATATAAGCAAGACTTGATCTATTATAAGTTTCTTGCTATTCATTAAAGGGAAGATTTCACAAAAATTCATATATTGAAATATTGTGACATCTTTTAATTTTATGTGAAAACTATGAAAAAAATTGTTGATACAACGACTGATGAAACTGACTAGAAAACGTGACAAACATGTAACGTTTTTCTTAATGTACAATAATTTTTAGTAATGCTTACAACATTTTATTTGTTTAAGTTTTTGTATTTCCATCAGTAAAAATATTAAATCCTCGTATTTACAACCATCACCCACATTTCTTTTAAATTTGCTGGAATTTCGAAAAGAAATTCATTGCACAGTGTATGTTTTTAATCAGTGGCTGATTTATTAACACTTTTTCGATGGAATCCCACGCACACGCACATCTCCCACAGTTCGGTCAATAAACATAATAAAGTGTTCAGCACACTGTATCTTTTTATAATTCTTTTTATTTTCGCGTAAAACGTGAATGAATTTCACACACAAATGCACTTATGAGTTTATAAACACGCAAATATATGTGGAAATATGTATGTATATCTAATAGTTTAGAACATTCAAAAGTCACGTTTCAATCGCGCGATGAATACGTCAACGAAAATTAGCGGTTTCTTACCACCCACTCACGTTCAGTACACAGAAAACCATATCCGTGTGACGCTTTTGACTGCCACTGTAACACTGTTCGCTCTAGCGTACATTTTAGCTTGCTATCGGCGAGTGCGTTAAACGAAACGCACAGTGGTAAAGAAATGAATTTAAAAAAATTTCAAATATATTGTTAAATTAATTTTTAGGTTATTCACTCTCACAAATACTAATTTAATTTTAATCAGGGGAAATTTAACTTATTTGCCCCACCATCTAATGTAGATATATAATTTATAGACAATGTATTAAAACTACTTGTTTAGCATCACTTTAAAGTATTAAAGTTGATTAAATTAGCAAAACTATATAAGTCTGTTAAAAATTAAATAACTATGATTTACAAGAATTAATATCTTATCATAAAATTGACTTTAAATCGTTGACTTTTGAGATTAGCGAACCAAAAAAAAAAGCAAATAAATAGAAATAATCGAAAGTATAAAAAATTTAAATGTATTCTAGAGAAACACATCAGATCTTGGGACACCAACAACACATGTAGCACTTTGGAGTAGTGTTGATGGTGATCAAACTAAAGAGCTTCCTTTTTAGTCAAGTGGGCATTAAACAGCATTTTAGTGATCATCACAGGATATGTTATAAAATAAAAAGAGTTGTTGAAAACAACAATTGCAGAGCTTAATTAGCTACAACTTAGGAGCATAATGGACTGAGAGCAAATAGTTTAAGTGTGGTCACCTTAGGCAAGGCGGTCCCCTAGACACCTCCTCTTTTTAACCAATCAACCATATAAAATTGTAAAAGTTTTTACCATTTCAATAAAGTATCGAAACACTCTTCTGTTTTGAATTCATTCGTTTAACCTCGTTGTTGCTTTAACAAGTTAGTTTTTTGGTAAGTGAGCACAGCTTAAATCAAAAATGGTACTTTTAACCATGTGTTAGCTATTTTATTTTCGTTTGGCTTTATAGCCTAAATTGTGACTGCATTTTTTATATTTTTAACTATCCCTTTAAAAATATATTTTTGTCCTTTATCTATTGAAAATATAACTTGTCTTATTTGATAAGAAGAGAAAATATTAATAATTTGTTCAAATTCCGTATGAATTGCACTCCGAACCACTGTGCGCTATTCTTCTCAGGCAATATGAAAGAGAGTGTGTGTTAGTGCTGCCATATTTTGAATTACAAAAAGCTCCAGAACTTGGAAAAGCGTTTTATTACACAAAAACACTAAATATTTTGCACTGAATTAAACTACATTGCCTAGGTGCCAGCATTGTAGTATATATTTATAAAAAAATAATTTCTTTGTGATATCAAAAGAAAATAAATGATGTTGAACGTGTTTTTTCTATAAACAGTTGGCAGTTTGGAACCCAATGAATTAAGGTAATAATGTAAGTATATTATAATTATTAACAACTCGCCAAAGTTTCAAGAATCCGTATAATTATCATTTGATGAAGTAAGCCATATCTTGTTTTCATACAATATGTTGAAATAGATGGGGGTTTTGTTAAAAAACATTTATAAATACTATCCATCTATGGAAAAATATTACCGATGATACAATGTTGCTTTTTGTCTGATAGCCAGTATTGGAACATTTTTCATAATTGTAACATTTCTTATGTAAGAGTACCTCAATATATCCCCATCTATTAAAAAACCTGTAACGCGAAAAAATAAGTCACCAGAAGCTAACATGTTTCAGGTTTTAAAAAGTTGAAAGGCATAAATTACCAAGTTGGCAACTATGGAGCGAATGCGTAATGAGCGCGTATGAATTTAGATAAGAGTGCATTTCTTACTTTTTGTAGAGTAATTGGCTTATTGCAAATAAGTGTGTTGTTTTTATCTATGCAAAAAAAATATACTGTATATATGGTTTATATTATATATAAATATAGGAATTGAAAGTAGAAAGAGTTAATTTTGACCGGAACCAAAATTATGATATGAGTGGTTTCTTATTTATCGGGAGAAACGTAACTTACATAGAGACCTATGCATAAGTATCTGCGCCTAAAAGATTCCGTCATATAGAAGAACGAAAATAGTTTTTCAAAAAAACTCACTCTCGAAAATTTGGAATATTACGTTTCATCTGGTCGAAAATACATTAGCGACACAACCGTTATCTGAATAAAACTATTAAACTCAGTATCAACATGTTGCGAGATTATAAAGATAATAATCTAATCATTTAATAAACAGAATTACTCGTATATAGGAATTACTCTTGCTATTCGCTTATACTAGATGCAAGAGTAATGCCTTTCTGCTAATGTCAGTTTACTCAGAAAACTTCGGTTTCGAACTATTGAATATAGTTGTATCATCCGGTCCATTGGCTTGGATAACATGTAACCGAAGTTATGTGAACTATTTTTTTTGCCGTGATCGAGGCATTTTATTTTAAAGTTTTTGTTACAAAAAAAAAATGTGACAAATGAGTTCCCGGAAATTGTAAATAAAATGCAAAACCAACATAAGCGGCTGCTGTAGACAAACTGGTTGACAGATCACGGTAATATTTGGTATAGTAATCAAGGACATTATGGTGGAAAAAAGACTCAAACTTCCATCGTTAATATTTTTTAAACGGTTAGGTTTACGAAAATTTTTTGTAAAGCATTTCATTTCAGATTTTTTAAAAGGAAATATTTTTTCTTAAAAGCGAGATGTGAATTTTTATAATCTTGCAACCAGTTGCTGCAGAGTATTATAGTTTTGTTTGGGCACTTGTGGCCCGCCCTCTAACAAGCTTAATTTAGATATCTCCTACACCACTTAAGTTGCAACAACCAAATTTGCTGAGTACAAATCTTATAAGAACTTCTACCGAGAGTGTGAAATCGGAGGATAACTCCGCTTACCATATAACGGTACTGTTAAAACTAACATAAGCGCGATTAATCAATAACTAAATACGCCAGCGACATTAAATTCTACCACCAAAATGCTATGAGAGAGCCTTATGAGAGCCGCTGTGAAAATCAGACGATGGGCGTGTCACCGCCCTTTTTTTAATGAAATCGCATATCTCGAGATCCGACAAACCGATTTCGACAAAATTTAGTAGTGGCATTCTTCTTACCTTCTAAGGTTACATTGTGAAAATGGACGAAATCGGACAACAACCACGCCCACTTCCCATATAGCACAATTTTAAATTCCACTGGATTCGTTCAGTTTCCAGTACACAAATCAAGAAGCAATTAGTATAACGGGACTTTGGCCGAATAATGGCTTTAGTGTGTGCCACCTTATTACCAAAAATTGTTTAAATTTCATAAAAATGTTCAAGCCCCTAGGATCCGATATTTAGACCCCGGTATCTATGTATAGTTGACTTTTGATCGAAAATGTCGGTCAATGTGTGATATATATAGAAGTGAAATTAAGGGATCGTCCTTCCCTTATTTCAATATTTCCCTAAGCCCACATAAACCTAATATAAAAATTTTCGAACTTCCCGGTGTCTTTATACCTCATATATAGGTCAAAAGTGTGGGTTATCTCAATAAAATGAAAGAGCATGTTTTACTCATAACAGTGTGCCAAAAATAGATAAAATTGAGCGAAAACTTGACCTAGCCCTAATTAAACTAACATCAGTATTTTCCAACATCCGGCTGACTTCACTCCATATATATTGGTAATTATATGTGAAGTACCTCAATGAATCCCAGGGAAAATTAGTTTGGTATGCGGCATAATAATAGTATAGATAAAATCCGGTCGATACTATCTCAACTCCCATATACTACATACATATATGTATATTATATAGGGATTTTCGTGTTTCTAAGAAGCCTTATGTATCTGTCCATGTATGAGTTATTTATAGTATGTGTATTTATAAAATTGCTTTTATTTCGATACTCTGATTGACGTTTTACACCTTAAGGTATTTCATTTGCTTTGATTTTTGCAAGTGAACTTATCCTTACTTACTTGTTCTACTTGGTGATAAGAAGTAAATAGAAAACTGTAAGTACACTGGAGAGACTTTCTTAAAGGTGTCTATCAGCATATTTTTCAGAGTACCACGCAAAAAACATTTGTTTTTGGGCTTACTCTGCTGCACATCCTTCTGGTGTTTTTCTTAAGAAAATATTACTTTATCCACACACTTTATCGGTGATTGATTATTTATCACAGAATTTCGCGGAAACCGCATTTATGACAACGTTAATATTTTAAAAAAGGCGTGCCGAAATTTGTGTTTATAATTCTTAAATAAATATTTTAAAATTCCTTTTGATATAGCGATGTCCATATGTCAACAATTTATAGTTATTTGTTGATTCTGCAATTGGTGGAAAAATCAAGAAGTCATTATAAACAGTGATGGGGTGTTGCAACCCAGTAATGTAAGCATGCTTAAGTTCAATGATTCGACATTTTTTGTAAAATGTTACGAGTTACGGTTAAAGCAGAAATGCTGCATTTTGCCGAAATTTATGTACAGTATTTATTTTGCCAATATGAATATTACAAATGAGCAATGCCAAATGCCCTTATGTTTATGGAAATAAATATTTACGTTTCCGCAAAAATTCAGAAGTGAGATTTATTCGCACATTTTTTTTTTTTTACATTTTATCTTATCTTTATATTAATATAAACATAGTTATTTATACATTCGCCTGTCCTAAAGGTACATACACATATGAATGATAAGTACATATGTATGTAGGTATAGTAGATACAGTGCTTATCAAATTTATAAGACACATTAATGCATGATTTTTCCTTATTTGCCCAAAACAGAAGCAGATGTACATAGATAAAATAATAATAAAGAAAAATTCAGGAAGTGCGACTGTTTATTTTTAATTTAAGAATAACAGGGCAAAATGGCATAATCTTTCGGTTATAACTTAATTAAAAGCTTATTTTAAGAAGTTAAGTCAATGTAGAGCCCTCAAAAAGGAAGGCGCCAAAGATGGACACCAGTTACAAAAAAATACACCACATTTTAAAATTTTCCTTCGATAAAGACGAAACCGCAAGGCAGAAAGCTGAAAATGTAAATAGTG